AAACATTTCATGATTATTTCGATTATTGAGTTTTGATTAAACAAAAAGCTTCACATCGCCTGTTGGAGGGTTTTATGAAAAAATGATAAAACTAAGAAATTGCTTCCATAAAGAACAATTTTACTTAATTGTCACTATAGGATTTCCTGACTGACTTGCAGCTAAAGAGAAATAGTCACACAAACCTTGTTTGAAGAAAAAGTTGTGAAACAGCAGTTTATAATCTACAGGGGCACCGCCAGGAATTTGGGGCCCCATGAAAGACATATCTGGTCCCCTCTAAAAAAAATGTATGCAAGCTTTAAAACTGTTATGAAGATGCACTGAAGAGTGTCATTTACATTAACTTTTAATTGCATAAACTGGTGGATAAAAAACTTGGATAGTTTATTAAATTATTTATTCATGCTTTGTTTCACTGTTTACTGCTGAAAATAAGGGAGAACACAAATTTATTTTACTGCTGGATTTTCTTTTTATATTTGAAATATCTAATTGGATATCTCATTCTTCTTCTTTTGGGCCCCACCTCAATCAAGGGCCCTCAGAATCTTCCTAACCGTTCCCCCTAATATTGTGCCCCTGATAATCTATATTAACATTTCTATGATACCTAAAGCAATCAATGATTCTCCAAACCATTTTGGAGCCCAACTGATTCTTGAATATCAACCACACCATGCCGTGTTCTCCTATCTGGAACTTTCTCTAAGACTAAAGATATTTTTCTGAATCCAAGATGTTCTTGCATCTACAATTTAAAACAATCTTTGACTTCACTAAAGTCAACTGCATCAACTGTAATTTGATATGAAAGTTTCAGCATCATCTTCTCTCTCTACTCTTCCCTCTGCCTCCCTGAACTCCAGATGGGGCTCCAGAGTTGGGATGCAACCAAATGCACCCTGGGGATCGTAGTCCAGAAAAAAATTGGGGCTTTGCAACATTTGACATGACTGGGTGACAGCTGGGCTTTCAGACGGTTCGTGGACTGAACCAGTGAGCAAGGAGAGCTGTAGCTGGTCGATGGTGCTGGTGGGAAAAGGGGACTGGTCTAGAGGAGAGCAGGATAGTGATGAAGGGGTGGCTGCCATGGTAACAGCCCCTGGGGGAGCAGAGGGGGAGTTGGCCTGGGAGTCCTCCGAGTTGAGGGAGCGCCTCAGTTTAGCCCGAGCGTTCTGAAACCACACCTGAGGGAATATTTTTGAAGGGAGGAAAGCTTATGGAAGATGATTACAAAAAATAAAAACAGCTACAAAGAAAGAAAATTATACGACATAAAGTTCTTACTAGAAACCTAATGTAAATCTCTAAGACTGAATATTTGTCTTTGATTTTTATCATACAAATTAAATAAAGAAAATTGCATTTATATTTTCAGAGGAGGAATAAATGTGTACCTGCAGCACTCTCTTAGGCAGGCCAGTCTTATGAGCAAGGCAGGTCCAGTCTTTGCCATCAGGGTTGTGTTTCTGGGCAAAATACGACTCGAGTGCTTTTAGCTGCTCACTGCGGAAGCAGGTCCGGATCCGCTTGGTCCGTCTGCGTGTCCGCCCACCTGCATCTCTGTCGTCCACTCGTGCTTCAGGACTGCTGACAGACTCCTCCCCTTCACCTGAGACCTGGCTTTGACCCGTCTCTGGTTTAATACAAAGATGGTAGTAATGGTTTTTAAGTAACCTTTTTTCAGCTCATTGGTTTGGTGTTGAAGGATGTTTAGATATTATGGTTTAAAAATAGGCCTATTTCAGATGAAACTTCCAGTGAACCCAAACACTTTCAGTACATGACCTACATTAATCGTCATGCCTCACAATTCAATTCAATTTGAATTCAGATTATTTATATAGCGCCAATTCACAACACATGTCATCTCAAGGCACTTTACAGTTCACCAGATCACAATCACCTTACAGATGTTAATGCAGAAGGAAGAGTTAAAGTTGACCCACCACTGTTATATATGGGTGAACTACATCTACGGATTGTCACATTGTTTTGTTGAGCATTGCATGACAAGGTCATTTCTGAACAAAAACAAGTCTAATTTCTTGATATATATATATATATATATATTCTAATGCACAATCAAATGCATATTCATTTTTTTGTATTTATTTTGTAGGATTAACATCAATAGCAACAGAACATAGATATATTGTAGATTGCCGTAAATATGCCAGAACTCAGCCAGCTAGTCAATTTTACAGAACATTGTATTGTAAGAATGGGGACAGCATTGATGCTTGTATGAACTATTAAATGCAACTATAGACTGAATAGCAGCACAGATGTAGCCAGATGTTATAAAAAGTAAAAATAAAGGTGGGCAATAAGTCGTAACATTTACCATAATGAATTTTTACAAAAATATATTCTAGCAGTTGTACTGCACCATATTTTTCACTTTTACTTGAATAATAGTCCTGACAGAAGATTTGTACTCTCAATTGAGTAAAATGTTAAGCTGATTAAACCATGATTAACCATGTTTTAAAAAAGTTCTCCAGATGAACACAAACAGTTACTGTTTATATCAAAATGAGTTTTCCTTTTCTTTGAACCTATGCCTACGTGAACCTCGACATTTGGGGGTCAGGCTAACATAACAAGTTCATATTGTCCATGGAAGAAATGGTTTCATCCATTTTATGTGAAAAAGAAAATTGGTTTGGAAAAGTGTGTTTCCACCTGATTTTTTTTGTTACATTTTCTGTTTATCTTAATCATCTAATTTCAGATTTTAAAGTACCAGAATTTTCACAAAACTTTACATTTTTGTCTTGATAATTTTACATATCAGATGTTGTTATTACTTCGTTATTAGCCTTAAGGCCTAATAGCCTTTTTACCAAGACTATTTCACTTTTACTTGAATATGAATAATGAAGATGATAAAGGATTGCTAGTCTTAGCTGAGTAAAATTTTTGAGTACTCTGCCCATGAACAAATGCCAGATACATGTTGTTAGGTGTTGTTGCAGTAGGGTTAAATTAAATACCATTGCACCTTTGAGTCTGTAATTTAGCTAAATGTCCACACTGAGTTGAACTATATGTTGTAAAATAAAAATTTAATCTGCAAAGCCTCATGTAAGTTAATTTACAGTTAATATTTCTTTAACATCTAATAGTTAGCTTGACCCCAGATCAATAGATGGGTGTGGCCTCACCTGGACTTTGCCAAGGTACCTCTTGACAGGCTGATTAGGGAGGCACGACTGCTAATGCTGGCAAATAAGCATGTAAACTATCACTGTAAGATTTACAGTGCAGAGGTTTAAACCAGTATTTTTTTTTGTTAAATGCCTTATTATGTCACCATTATATTCTTCTAGCTGCCCAACTGCTAAAAGAGAAAACAATAGCAAATTTAAAGAGACAACATCTCTGAATTACTGTTTCAAGTTGTTTGCATGGACACAAATTGAAACTTGAAGCTTAGGCACATAAAACATCCAGTAAGGCTTATATTCTTGTTGTGTAGAAGAAAGAATATACTTAGATTGACCAACGTTTTATTCCAGGCAGAGCAGATGAAGGGCACGGGTTTCAAGAAATGGCAAACATAACCTTAAATCTGTTACTAGGTTACACCTTTAAAGTTTTTCTGACATTTATTTGCATTGCAGCTGATTGTTTTTAGGATGACAAGCACTGACCTTCTTTCAGATGTGATTGTGAGGGGTCTTGCAGCAGCAGATTTCCCCCATTGCCACTGTAATGTGACTGACAGTACAGATTTGGACCTTGCATGCAGTAGAGGCTCCCTGGCATTAATTTTAGATCACATTCCTGCAATTTAAAGGTTTTAAAGTCATTCATTTATTTGTTACTAATGTTAAAACATTAAAGGTTTTTTTTGTTTTGTTTTTGTTTTTTACTAACCTGACAAGAGAAGCACTGAGGATGAAAGGTCAGCTCACCAGACCTCATGACCAAATCAGTGGGTGGGATTGGCTGAAGGCAGCGAGCACATTGGCCGCCTCCAAAAATCCTAATGAGAGAGAAACCAGATGTGAGAAAATGAAGTCCATATTAACTCAATACAGATGTTGGGAACTGTTTCAGCTTGGGGAATCATTTAGACCTGCTGTAGTCCTGCTGGCAGTAGATATTTCCATCCCTCCAAAAGAGGGAAGGGTGAGTCTGTAGCTCACAGTGGCACTGGCTGCAGCGGAGGCAGATGCTGTGCCACACCCTCCCTGCAGCTAATAGGAAGAAGCGATCGAACACCTGCTTGCCACATCCAGCACATATGATTGGCTCTTGAATAGACACAGTTGCTGGAACCTGATGAAGAAAGTTCATATCATAGAAAATGAAAGATTAAGATTCTGTAAAATTAAGGTGACGGGAGAGAGCGTTCAAAGACCTCTAAGAAAATCTGTTCAACAACTGTAAGAAAGATCTGAAGGCTTTAAAATCAATAGAGTTGTTTTATTATTGAGACATCTGTTAATATTTTTTTCACAACAAAATGCAAATAAAAGCATTTTTTTTCTACTCCCGAATTGCAACCCCTTTATGAAGTGTTTCATTATGTTTTATAAAGTGTCAGTCTCATTTCCCATTAGAAACAAACTTCATAGCATTTAGCTTTACTTAGCTTTAAAAAAATAAAAAAATAAAGCCATTACGTTTTTAGTCCAAACAAAATGTAATCATATTTTAAGAATCAAAAACATCTTTCTGCTCATTAGTCTAAACAATTTCTGTGGTGCTATTTATCTGTCATGGTAATTGTAAAAAAAATATTTTTTCGCTTTATATCGCTTTTTAAAAATATGAAATGCACAGTTTCATATAGTCTGTATTACAGTCAAAAGAACATATAGGAATTAAGGTTAAAAAAAAACTAACAATGTTATTGATCTGCTTAACAGTGCTTGGAAGCATTTAGTTGTACTGTAGCTTTCTGTCAGGATAACAACTAGTTTGTTTTTTTTACATAAATTTTTTTATGTTTTTTTTTACATAATTTTTTTTTAAAGTATAAACCATAAATAATCTTAAAATAACACCATTAAACAACAAGTTGGCTGCTTGATTCTGTACTCCGTTATTTCATACATGAAAACAAACCAAAAAAACAAACCAAAAGGAAAACAATTTAAATCTGCTGTAAGCAAAAAAGTCTGAACATAACTGTATAATGAAAGCGTCATAAATGTTGGGTTGACAAAATTTTTGCTTGTTTTTAGGTTCTTCTTATGCTGCAAATTGAATGCAGCACAAACAAGAACTACTATATATATAAAAAAAAAAAAAAAAAAAAAAATTATATATATATATATATATATATGTCTAAGGTTTCTATTTATGCTCATAGAAATGTAGATAAAATATGTTGTAATCACATTTTCTGGAGCAACATTCTCTTCCACCACTGTTGGGCCTCCTGCCAGCTCCACCGCCTCCGTCTTGTCACCGATGTCGCTGCCATACAGCAGGTCCTCCAGGGTTTGGTCGTCTGCAGACATCATGGTTAAGAATTCTGCGAAAGCAGGAGGTAATTAGCAGGTTTCTCTCTGAGCTCAGCTATAAGTTGATAAAATGCAAAAATGTTCCCATTTTGTATTTTCCACAATGTTGTGTGTCTCTTAAAAATATTAGCAGGCCGTTATGTTAAATATCTAAAATAATAAAACATTTGATTTTCGTTTTGCCTTAATTCACTTTTAATCATCTGAACAAGGTGGTTTTAAAAGTGAAACATTTGAAATTATCACAGCATTGCATTTGTGTTTAACTAAATGTAACAGAACCAGTCTGCGTGTTTGCAAAAAAGTATTTGTCTCATTTTCCACTTTAAACATGTTTGATATCGCCACCAGATATGCATAATCATAAACTAACACTGAAACAAGCAAAAAGAAAAATCACAACTTGAACCATCACAAAATATTTTTTGTTTTCATGAATATGCAGGTTTCCTTATACAGTATGAAAAATGATTCATCAGGTTTTTCAGAGAAAAAGATATATATAGATTTATATATAAATATGTGTGTGTGTATATGTTTATGTGTGTGCGTTGTTTTGTGATAACAGTTCTTGTTAAGGTCATAAAAAAAGCAACAAAGTGTATTTCCTTTTGATGATTAATGATAGCCTGCAATATTATTAGTTGTTGTTAAGTAAATAAAACATGTAAAGCAATAAAGGGCAATTTCTTTTGATGATTATTGATAGCCTGTAATATTATTAGAGGTTGTTAAGCCCATAAAACTTTTAAAGTAATAAACATTCTAATGTTATCAATAAACTAATACAGTACGTGATAAATAAGAGAAATAACCGTTAGCTATAAAATCAGTGCCTATGAACATACAGCAGAAAACTTACCGATCTAGTTTATTGATGTGGTTCTTGCTTGTTTCCCCACTTTCCTCTCAGTATAAACTTCTGTTTCAGAATTCTCTCCAAGAAGTAAAAAAAAGCAGAGGAAATTAGATTTCTTGTCTTTTCTTTATGATGTAAACATCCCTGCTTTACAAGAATCGCTCCTATTTTCCCTCCAAACGATAAGCCACAGTGGTCCTACTGATGCAGGTGTCCTTGCAGCCTCCTGTTTCGTGGTTTTGGGATGACCTTACCTGCAGTCTGCCTCCTCACCATAATATTATCCAACCACTTCCCCAGTTTCAGATAACTCAGCAGTCCCAGGTGACAAGCACCTGTAAACAAGGAGCCCAGCTGACTCAGAGATCACCAAACAAGCATTGTGATTGGCTGCCTGGGGAGCAGGTGAGCGGGTGGGGTAGGAACTTTTACACTGGGGGCCAATTAAAAAAAATAAACCCAAACTGTGTTTAAAAGGACATCTGGGAGAGGAGCTGAAAGATAAAAATACAGGTTTACAGTTTAGTTTTTGTAAGGTTAAAAATCTCATTTTGGTGTTGGCTTTAAAAATAACAAAACTAGCATGTCAACAGTGAGAGGCTGAATCAAAAAAACAAAACAAAAACTTACTGTCATAAAATGCCCATGTCTCTCTTCCAGCGGATGCAGTAATAATAAATATAATCCTTTTTTTTTTTGCAAGGTATCATATCATACTCCCTCTCATTACCCACTCATTTAAAAAAAAAATCTAATTACCGTTTTTACTTTGTTGTGATTAATCCCAGTTCTCAAAACTATAAGCCATTCTACAATGAAAGATAAATAAGCTCTTTTGACCTTTTCAACTTCCCCAAGCAACTGCATCCTGAGGGAGCTGAAAATGTGTTTAAACTTGATAACAAAATGCAGAATAATTAAGACAGAACAGGTTTTATTTAATTCATTATTTCTACAACTCACATTAATCCCTAAAGTGGAAAAAAAAGAGGTGGCAGTAAAAAACTTAAAAATGACCTTCGGTGTTATATATTCAGCTTTACCTTATGCAGAGTTTAACTATGAATGTTCTGGTTCTCAAAAGTGAAGGGAAATGACATTGAATTGAATTCTATTCATTTATAATCCATAGATCATTCTTAACTTATATGAACACAGCTTTCTTGGAAACTCAAATTTCTCTTGAGACACTTATTAAAAAACTATGTAAATGAAACTTTAGTGCAAAGAAAACACTCTATAGAGCTGTAGAAAATTCAAACTCAGATTGGTTATGTTTTCATATAAGACGTTTGCATTTTTGACTCGTAAGACTGTGTTAGAGAAGCATTTTTTCCTAAAGTAAATTCCCAGACCTGGCTAAAATATCCCAGTACCATTTGGGAGAAAGTGTTCACTCATGAAACCATAATTGGAGTTTTAAGTCACACTTTCAAAGGTGTTTTTGACAAAAATAAAACAGGGTTTAGTCAAAGTGATAGAAATTATGAATTGTTATACCGGTCTGATCTCAAATCTTCATCTATGTGATAAAAATATAAAATATTACAGTTATCTCTGTTTCTTTAACAGTTTTTGTTCGGTGGTGTAAACACTTCTTTAACCAGCTAATGGCAATTTTGCAAGTTTTGATTTTTTCCAACGATTTAACTAAAGTAAAAATAGTTTTTAAAATAATCTAATCTTCTGTAGATCTTTTATCACATGGCTACACAATTTGTCTAAATCATCCAGAGACCCTTTCTACCCTTCTGTTTTGTTTAGGTCATTCCTAAGGAATGAGATACTGACCTAATAAGAATGATTTTGAGTCTGATTAGCCATATCTGTATTCCATTTTGTATGTTTTCAAAACAAAAACAAATCTTTGTTGGGCTACTGTATAAAACCTTGAACTACGCTATTCCTGACATTTTGAATTGAAAAAGCTTCTTGGAAACAAAGTCCAGTGGATTGTTTTTTAATTTTCTTTTTTTGGAATGACTATGACCTGGATGATGTATTAATTTGTCCAAACTGTTAATTATTATCAAAAATTCCCAGGAATCCATTGAAAAAACAAAACAAAAAACCACATTTTTAACAACATTTCCAGGTCTTTTGACAAAGAAACGGACCAATCATGGATCCTCCAACATTTAGAACAGGGTGGTTAAAGGTAAAGATAACGGTTTTGTTTAAACTCATCTGACATGCAAACAAATTAAAACACAAAAAAATTAAAGCATTTTGTGCAAGAACCAATATTTTATTTTAAAGATGTCAGAAAGTGAAACACATTTTAAGACCAGTAGAGAAACTCTTCAAGTTTCAGATTAAATTGTTTTATTGTTGTAATCTTTGACAAGGCACCATAGGGAGAAAAACCAACGTTAAACAAAGATGCTTTTACAAAAAGACAAAGTAAAACAGAAAGACAAACACAGTGAGGACAGTGATGCACCTGTCATGGCAGCTGAACCACAGCAGGTGCATCACTGAGAAGCCACAGACCTAACAAAGTGGAAAATGACCAGTAGGGGGCAGTGCTGAGCTTTGAAGCAGGGCTGATCAGATGAGTTTCAGAGATGAATACTGAATCCAATTAGAAATAAACAAAATATTTTTTGATTGGCTTTCGATTGAGAAAGATACATATATTTATATTTTCAGTACTGTAACAATCAGGTTCTAAATGTTCAGAGTAAAAGCACATGCACAGACATACTAATAAACTTATTTACAGAAAAAAAAAGAGTGAACAAAATTAACAAAATGTAGCTTTTAATGCTGCAAACTGAACAATATATAAACAGAACCATTAACCTAAAACTGCAGCCATTGGAAACACGTGATTCCATTTTTTATTACCAGCTTTTTATTGCATATTTTACATGAACTGTCAGTTCTGGAGAGAAGTTCAGTAATGGGCGTTACCCCAGCCTAGTGTAGATTTAGTTATGCCATATATTTCTATTTTCTTTTTATGATGAATTTAAGGTCTCCAGTCCTGCAGAAGCTTAAACATCATTGAACCTGGTCTAAATTGATTGTTTTTCAGTTTATTCTCCCTAACGTTTTGAGTTTTTTTTTTTTTTTTGGCTCTGTTTTTACTTGTTATGCTTCACAAACCCATCAGAATGTCTTCGTAGCTCTTGTGCTCTATTTAGTTTTCAAATTTCCGAAAGCTTATAATTAGATCGAATATATACAGGTATGGAAACCGGAAAAGAGGAGTGAATTTGAAGAAAAAACTAATTTCAACCTTTGCATCGAAATCTCCTTTACTAATTGCCAATATCCAATAATAGCTATTAAATATCTAATATTGTTAGTATTAACTTTATTTTTTTTGAAAAAAAATTGGGGACTAAAACCTTTAAAATATGCTGATGTTTTGTCCTGATCAGAAGAGAGGCATTTTAGGCTATTCCATAAATGATGAACCTTTTTAATGGTGGCCAAAATGATTGACAATAAATAGAAAGCACCGATATTTTTTAAAGTCACTAAGACACCATTAAACACTGACTCTGCACTTTTAGCCGTTATTTGTCGTATATGTTTGGATTCTAAAACTTTTAGGCAATCATAAATTTTTGCTAATGCAAGTTTCTCATCAATTTAAGGCAGAATCTTGATATTCTGTCAAGACACTTACTGGATTTTATGTTCCTGTTAAATCTTTGTCTCATCTTAAAGTACTTTACAGTTTATCCTTTTTCATTTTTTAACATTGGTCAGTTTAAGATTCCGCCAATTAGAAACTTTAGTCTTGCATCTCTAAATCATTTAAAACTGGAATCCAAAAGTGGCTGCTTATGAAGGTACCGGCTATTAACTCGGATCAACTGTTTCTGTAAAGATAGAAACTCCACAGCATACAGTTGAACAATGATAACTGACTTTTTACAAATTAAAAAAAAAAAGCTCTTATTCTATTCTCAAATGAGAGCAAGGTTTTTGTTAAAATATTTGTGTACATACATTGGCACTTTATTTATAATATATCTTCATCCTTATTCTCACTTTGCTCTGCTAACTGTAGATATGAAGGATGCTGGTCTCATCTTCATCTCTGTGAACTGGATGGAGTGGTCTTCTCCTTTCCATGACTTCCAGATCACACCCTAAAACCCAAAAAGAGAAGTTAACATGTATTTTTGATTGTTTTAAATCTACTGATATTCAAAGATTAAATAAAGGCAGGCAATCCAAATAGGTCCCCATTGCCCATGGAAGTAAAACAGCCATCAGCAACTGCTTCATAAAAAACTTCATGGATCGTCCAGCATACTTAAAGGGCATGAGGTTTGTTTCCTAAAATACAGCCTTTAGTTCACCTTAAACCAACCTGGAGTGGATTTAATTGATTTTACCACAGACTTTAATGTTCTGGAACATTTCTTTCCTTTTTGCCAGTTTAGCACTTAGCTAGGCTGTATACTGTAGTGTTTTTCTAACAATGTTACCTGATGTTTGAAGTCAATTCCATAGAGGCCGTTCAGGTTTGCTTCATGGCAGTTCTTGTACCACCAGCCTCCTTGATAAGAAATAGCACAGCGGGTGATCCATGGTGCTGGGTCTCGGTCTTTGGTGGAGAACACGCAGTTGTCATGGTAACTAAGGGAGTCACCTGAAAGAGTGAAACATAAAAAAAAGGAATAGTGTTTTTTTATGTGCAGTTTTAGACAGATTTTAGCAGACAGCATGATCTTATATTTTCCATCTCACCTGCAGTGCCGCTGTAACCCCCCACACTCAGTTTGTAGTTCCTCTTGGCCACAGAAAATTTTGTATACTTAGCGAAGACTTGCTCGTCTCCGTCTCGTAAGTCGACTCGTAGATTCATCCTTGTCATCTTAGTCAGGTTGTGAATGTTGTCAAGGCCTAGAAGAAAGAAATTTCTTCAGACATTGAAGATTTTTTGTTTTACTTCACTTATCCGTGGTGTATGCGTTGGTGTGTTTTTATGGGAAGGATGTGGTATCTCTTTATGACATTGTTTCACCTAAGTGTTAAATAATGAAAAAATATTGGTCAATAGGAGTGTAAATAAAGAGAAACAGTGTTTTGAAGACTAGGTTCACATTTTAAATCTGAAACCAGAGAGCATCTGTTTTACAATGAGACATTAATGAGACGATGTGAGGGGAAAAACCAGCATGTTTTTTTATCATGGAAGATCATTGTATTTGTTTTACCATATGTTTTTTTTTTTCTTCGTTTATGATACAGCATTAAGGTTAACGGTTGAAGCATTTAAAAAAGACATTTTATGCAGGATTGATGAAAAAGATATTTCTATCTAATACAGCCATTTATAAAGATTTCAGGATTTTATCTAACATAGTGGCAGGATGTAAAGGGATCTGAATTGTAAGCCTGCTGGTTTTAAAAGGACATCTTAGTCTGGATCTTCATGTGTGAATAAATGAATAAATAAGTCACAACATTTCAGTTTAAATGGAGCCACAGTTTGTTGTTCATTATCATAATAAAAGTTGTATTTTCCTATTTATTGATTTAGTTACTGACACAAATGGAAATGAAAACAGTAGCTTTTTAATTTGATTAGTCACAGTTTGTTATTTGCAAAGCATCTAATTTAATAATTTTTGTAATAATTGTCATGTTTTACCAGAAATAAATGGAAAAAAATATATTTAAGTCTGTCCATGAAAACAGACAAAAAAACAAAGTTCAGCTTGGTTTAACCCCAATTTACCACTGCTGTCCATGACCTCTCATGAATATACTTATAGTTCGCATTTAGTCTTACTTACCAAACAGAACAACAATGGTGGCTACATTCCATCATTTTGTTATTAAAATTTAAACAAATAGCCAAAACTTTCATTTCTTTTTAATAACAATAAAAAAGATAACAGCATGTGCTAAACTTTAAGAAAACACAATAAAAAAAGCCAATGTTTAATTTTAAACATCTATGTTTCTGAGAAAAATAAGTTCCTGCTCAAAAGCAGAGATGTTTTTCTGCAGGTATTTAATGTGGAGGCTGCTTGTTTAAACAGCAACTGCGGTCACGTCTTTATTTTAGACATGATTGTGCAGATATCACTCTCAATTTTTAGGAGTTATGATTTGTATTTGTTTTTGTGTGATTCAGCACAGAAAAGGTCTTTTCGGATAGATTTGTGGATGCAAATGGAAACAGTCAATCAGTTGTCGCTTTGTTGCTACTGACAACCAGAATTCTTCCAGCATGCATGCAGAGGAAACAGTCTAATGTGGGATCAGAGGCGAGATCGAGCAGAGCGTCCTGCAGCTCTGATGACAGGTGGTGTGTGGTGAAGGTGGTAAAAGGTCTATGCAATCATTCTTTTCTGGTGAGTTATAATTCGGAAAGTACTTGTTGTAACTTTCAAACAGTCTTCTAAGCTTAAAGACAATAATTCATATTATAGTTTAAATGGTTACATCGTAACTCTTTATAAAGTCCTCCAGCTCTGGGAACATTTGAGTATTTCCCGCATCCACTCGCACAGCACACTGCTCCAGCTTTCTCTTTAATACTGTGACCTTAGCGACAGGCTTGTTGTTGCTGTTTTGGGAAAGCCTAGTTACAACCAGCAGTAACTGATTTTGAGTAATAAAATGCCTGTGTGAGACCGCTCGCCACCCTAATAATGTCCAGCAAGAAGCTACACTAATTTTGCGCATTAGGTATTTCCTGAATGATTTGGCGACCCCCAGAAACCATCTTGTGACCCCAATTGTGGTCTAGACCCCAAGGTTGAGAATGGACTGGGTAGACAATAGACACATGTTTCGAGTCTTCTGAGAAGATCAATGATGCATTCTGGCCCAATAAACATTTCAGTACTGTGAAGAGTTTCTCTCACCAAGCCAGAACTCCCCACTCAGGTTTCCAAACCCAGAAACGTAATCCCTCCAGCCATTGTAGAAATTCACCGAGCCGTCCTTCCTCCTCTGGAAAACCTGCACATGCAGTGCAACATAACGCAGAACAGCTAAATATAACAGACTGTAAGATCTTTCTGATCAATGTGTAATATCTGCAGAAACTGCATAAGGCCTTTTATATTTTATGCTGTATTTGTTTTCAGCAGGGCCACAGGACAAACAGTTCAGACTCTACCGTCCAGCCGCCGCCATCTGTCTCCATATCACAGTAGACATTCATTGACTGGCCAAGTTCCCCTTGAGGGAAAATTTCCACCACGTCTGAAGTGAAGACACCGTTCTGCAATTCCTGAGAGCAATCAGTGGGGTAAGGGAACAGCAGCGTGCCTTTGGATGAAGGAAAGGAAACAATATGATAAGACAGGTGGTTTATCAGTAAATTGCCAGGTCTCTAAGGTTCAAATAATGGGAGGTACCAGTGGTGAAGTCAGTATAACTGCTGCCTATCAGTTGACCTCCCCTTATAGACTGTAGCTCCACTTTGTACAGAGATCCTGGATGCAGTCGAGTCAGCTTGTATTGTCTTTGATCTGGGCTAACAATCATTTCCTGTCAGAATGTCAGAGATCAAGAGTTATCAGGAAAGGGAGAGGAATGCATGAACATGCCAGTCGCAAGAAAGAAAACATTTTTAAAACTACATGCTCAAACTCTTAGCTAAGTTTTAATTTTAAACCAAATCAATAACAGAGAGGAAAGCCCTGTAGAAATACAGTTCAGTACAGCTCAGTCTGGAGGAATTCAAATGGAACCAAACATAAAGAATAATAAAAAGAATAACTTGTATGCCAACAGCTTTCATACCTTTCGGTCTTCACCTTCTCTACCATAAAGCAGGACGTATTTTTCCACCGGCTTTGAAGAAGGAATCCATGACATGACAGCACTCCGAGGGGTCACATCGCTGGCCTTAAGATCGTTCGCCCCATCATTATCCGACCTTGAGCCTAAAGAGAAAAAGTATAGTTTTTTTTCCGTCGTAGACCACTGAGTTCTTCATAAGTTAGTTTTTTGACTTGTAATATAGAAACGAACATGTTAGGGCTGCTTTAGAAACATATTTAGAAAATGTGTTGGTATTGGATGGTGTGAAAGGTTGCTCACTGCTTTTGGTGGTAAAGCTGGTTGTAGCTGGTGAACTCTCCAGGCTTCCAAGCTGACTTGTTACTGTGACAGTGTAAGTGGTTGATCCTTCCAGGCCACTGAGCTGCTGCTCGGCTGCATTTCCAGAAACGGTGAGCCTCAGTTCAGATCCTGCACAGAAACAGGTTTAGGGCCAATATTTTAGACTCATACAGCTTATAAATAGATCAAATACAAATTCAAATATGAAGATAACCATATGACTTGTCATGATTCGTTTTAAAATGAATAGCAGCTGTTAATCTATAAACAAAATGATTTGCAGCCACACTTTGTACAGATGTATGGATGATGACGTAATGTTTGGGTCTCTGTTGTCTAATGGGCTCTAGTTCTAAATAGGACATTAAGTGTTTTCTTGATTAAAACAGATATTTTAACAATTATATGTTAATTAAATATGTTTGTGCTTATTAACGCAAATCACCAAAGAATGGATTTAATTCTTATACTGTCCCGGAGGGACCCACCTGTGTGACATAATGAATTGTAAGCCTTTCAAGGCAATTCTTATCTATTTATGAATTTCTCGAATTCAAGGTATAATACATTGTTTTCTTTTCTTTTCTTTTCACCTGATCTAAGTTCTCAAACAGGTTATTTTCAGGCAAATATTCCCTAACCACAGTTAGCCCATCATTTAGAATGGGTGGGGAACAGTTAGCTTCTTTAGATACAGTTTTTCTTTGATACTTGAACTCATGCCTTTTTAATCACATTTTTAATTTTCTGAGGTTAACAAAATTATTTTTGTTTTACTGAAATGAAAGATTCTCTGTTGCAAAATAGATAAATAGATGTTCTGTAAAATATTTTGAAATTGAGATTTTCAGCAGTCAGAAAGGAAACCCCAGTTCATCACTGCTTACCTGAACCCGAGCCATAAACAATAGTGTACTTATCAACAGTGGCCAACGCTGGACGCCACAGGAGCAATGCTGTGGTGTCATTGACATTGACAGCCTGCAGGTTAGTGGGCGGGTCTGGAACTAAAGGTGATAAAGAAAGTGATCATAAAAAGAGAATTGAGAACAAGAATTTATCTATAGTTCTAAAGATGCAAAATTTCCCATACAGGTTTGTTTTAGTGAAAAACAAAGTATATGAAAAGCATTCATTATTTTTTGCCAATAGAAACCTAAAATGGGGAAAACTGTAAGATTGGAAAATATAAAAGCAAAATATCAGAGTAAAATCATAATGATCCAAATACTGTCATTTCAGTGTTCTTATGTATTTGCAATGTATTTTTTTTATAATAACTTTTTGAATTTGCACAACTCACGTGTCATGACAGTATCTTTGATTGGATCACTCTCATCCAGTCCAAGGGTAGAAATGATGGTGACTTCATAAGAGGATCCAGGAGCCAGCTGAGATAGATCGAGGCTGGAGTCCTGTGAGTCCACTGTCACTGACACTGGCTCACCTATATAAGCAGTGGGAAAGATTAGTTGTTGCTTTTTTCCTTTTTTTAAAGAGCACATATAGGCTTTGGTAAACATTCAAAGCAAAGCACCGAGCTTATGATGATTCAGAACTACATTTTTCTAAGTTCTGTCTGCACCCATTTTAAAAAGGGCTGCAGAATACTACAGGCCAAATCATCAACTAGTTATTTCAAAATAAAAAGGGAATGTACTGTTTAAGCAACAGTCTAACACGTCAAGAATGAAGAGCATGGAAACATTGTAGGTTTTAAGTTGTTCTACAATCAGACACAAATCCTGAAGCAGTGTGCTTAGCTTCAGGCTCTGGTTTTCAGAAAAAAAACATCATATTTGATAAAGTCAATCACAATATTCTTTTAAAAAGACTTGAAAGTTCTGTAGGGATTAAGGGAACAGCATTAGATTGATTTAAATCTTGTTTGTCTCACAGATTTCAGTTTGTTGTAGATTATAAATCTTCCTCATGCTCCAGGATTGCTTGTGTAGTACCACAGGGGTCATTTCTTGGGCCAATTCTCCTGACCATAGATATTTATATATGTTTTCAATTGGTGGATGAAAATAAAAAGAGATCATATTTTTCTCATTTTAGCTTCCCTTCATCGGCTTCCTGTCAAATTCAGAATAGGATTTAAAATCCTCATTCTAACATATAAAGCCCTAAATCGGAGGTCTTCAACAGGGGATCCGCGACCCCTAGGGGGTCCATAGAGGTACTGCATATGAGTCATGAAAGTTTTGGTTGATTAGACTTTTTTTTAATGTTTCCCCTTGCAATTTTTTCTTTAAATCAACATTAACATGAATTCAACACACTGTAGTAAACGGATAAAGGGAGGCAGAAGATGTCTTTCAGTCATCAATGAATCAGAATCAGAAATAATCCCAGGGAGAAATTACTTTCTAACATGACTCCATCTGTAACAGAGTGACTATAGGACCAGTTTGATATTACACAATTTGATACAATATATATATATATCATTAGGGGGTCCCTGCTCCATCTCGCTATCAGTTTGGGGGTCCTTGGCCTGGAAAATGTTGAGGACTCCTGCCCAAAATAACCAGGCTCCATCTTATAACAGAGATCTGAATGTTCCTTACATTCCTACTAGTGGTTCATAGAATTTTTAAAAGTAGTTATCTATCAGGGTACTCTCCTATTACACTGACTACCAGTGTTAGTCTATGACACCCTGTTTACTTTTAAAGCTGGTCTTAAATATACCTTTTTTATCAAGCTTATAGTTACAGGGGTTCAGGTTATCCTAAGCTATCTCTATAGCTATGCTGCTGTAGGCTTAAACTGCTGGAGGATATAGGAGTCAGTTTTCATCATTCTGCTTCATTCTCTCTCTGTTTTCCAATTCTGCAGTATTTGTTAGTTCAAGACCTAACTATATGTTCTCTTTGCTTTTTCCCGTAGCTTCACCTGGTCTGATCTTTTATGCTGTGACAGCATCCTGGAGGGAGGCCTCACTTGGGCTGCTGCCATCAGCATCTTCAATTACAGATGATTGGGGCTGTTTTTCAGTGCTTAGTCCTGTTTCTCTCCTAGAAATGGCTATAAGTTAAACTTTTACTGACTAATAGTATGTGCTCTTTTTCATCCCTTTTGACATGAAAACAAGCTGATCTTGGTAACTGTCTCTTTCCTAATATGTTTTGTTTTACCAGACTGCGAACCTATAGCAAAGTAGGAACTTGTATCTTGGTACTTGGAGCATACAAACTATATTGGGCATCCCTTAATTGCATTTAGTGGTCTCAAACTCAGATCCTCCAACGGCGATGTCCTACAAATTTTAGAGATGCCTCTGAGTCAACACATCTACCTCTAATATGAACTCATTAATAGAGCTTGACTGTGGCTACGTTGTAGTTTAGCTATTTAAATCAGATGTCTAGGGCAAGGGACAAAACTATAGGTAGGAGGACAGGCTTTCGAGGATTTTAGATTGAGACCCCTAATTCAAAAGGATTAAACATTACTCTGTTTGCAACATTTAAGTAAGGAAAATTCTTATTCAAGATAGTTTTTTGTAATTATTTTCTTACCTTCATCTGCATTGGTGTAGGTGACTTTGAAACCATTAACATTACTTTTAGGTTTTGTCCATGACACTGTCAGAGAGTTTTCAGTCACTTTGCTGAACACTATGTTGGATGGAGGCTCTGGTCCTGGAGGACAAAAATCCAACCAGAGTAAAGGTAGGTTAAAGATGGAATATTATTACACGTAGTTTTACATAGTAAAAATTAAACAAGAAACATATAAGGTCATATACAAACATCACAGGAAAGCAAAGAAAATGCAAATTTGACAAAGAAAAATGGAAAAACGGATAAATGGATTGTGTGAAAAGGACCAAAACACTTGTCTCAATCTTATTTATCCATTCACACATTTTCTTTAGGTGCTCCATTAGGTTTATGTGTATATATGTACAGCGCAAACATATATACAGTATATCAGTTATACACACAGACAGTATGAATATATGCAAATGATGGACCCTGGGGAGTGGAAAGGAAGAAAATTACATCTTTATGAGTCTTTATAAATATAGTAGTAGCAGGTCATACCTGAAAATAAATGCATGGCGAAATAAATGTTAATGACACACAGAGAAAAAAGAAATTATTTTTGAGATAATTAAAAGAGGAATGAAAACATGTGCATTAACATATCAGATGACACAGCAATATGAGCTGGAAATAAAGGATTGTGTAAGAAGTGATGGAAGTAATTTCAGGGATTTTTTTTAACTTTCCAACATGTAAGAAAAACTCTTGTTTAATGACCAAAGGGAATGGACTTTTTCCACACTCTAACTATTCCATAAGTTTGCAACTGATAATCTTAACAACATTGACACTATGATAGATATTCTTAGTATATTTTCAGACCAAAAATCATCCAGCTGGAATGAGTTAACCTTGTTAATTTTGTTGCACTTGAACACAAAAGTTTAAAACGTTAACCAAATTTAGAATGACCAACTGGGGTCTTACCCTGGTTTTGGGGAAAGGTGAAGGGATGTCAGTGAAGCTGGCTGTTAGCTTACCCTAAATGAGAGAAGATCAGAGCAGGAGTGAATTAATGCAGTTATGAGGGGCGGGGGATGGGGTGGGGGTTACTGTTGTTTATGACGTCAACTCAGCTGACTATAGCATAAAATCAGTAAGATTTGAAAATGGGTTAGTCAAGACAGGAACCATTTAGTTTGATTTAGACTTCTTGGTGGAAATAGAGTAAACGTGCAATAGTTCCTTATTGGGTAAATACAGACATAAAAAACAACACTTTAATCAATGAGTTAATGGCTGTTTTAATGTTAATCATAATTAGTTTATTAATATTAGTAATCAAATAAAACATCATTATATCATGATGTTTCAGGTTTACCTACTCATCTAATATTTAGTTTTGGTATAAAAATGGTCAATTGAGGCTCCAAATAGAGATTTAAAAAGATATCACAAGACCTGGACTATAGAATGCTAAAGGACTATTTAGTAGTGAAGAGGATGATCAGACATCAAGTAACTCAAAGTTGCATTGTTTTAAGGCAGGTGACTGGTGATTATGTAGTCCCTCATGAATATGAATATTTTGCATATTCATGGAAGCTGGAAAATTAGTGTACAAAGACAACACTAACACAAAACATCAAACACACTTCTTAACATCAATGTTCCAAAACAATAAAAATGGTTATGTACTAGATGAGTAAACATACAGTATGTTCTTAGGACAAACATAGGACAAATAAGACACAGCTTACAGGAGTACAACACACTTATGAAATAGAAATGTAGGGAGTATTTGATAGCAGGAAAATGTATCCAGTGGTTGTCAAGCAAAGTTATGAATTATGTGGTACAATGTGTATACATGACACAAATGACGTTTTACTCTGGATTAATTGGATTTTAGAAAGGTTCTAGTGTAAGAACAACAGTTACTCTGTTGACAGAACTTGACAACACTCACAGTTATATTGTTATTCCACTTGTCACCAATGTTAGTACCTGTACTGATGACAAGCTTGTGCAGTTTGGATAGAATGCCAGGACCCTTTCCAAGCAAGGTTATGGTGTACTCCGTCTGAGGAGGTAGGTGATCAAACTGGAGGGAGCGAGCAGAACCAGGCAGCACTTGTTTGAAGACTTTGTCCTCATCTGCTGGCTTGTTCACTGCACCTCTTTGGATATTTGGGACTCGAACATCTTCAGGTACTTTATTATTGTCCTTATTGCTTCCATTTTCTGATGAGAGTTCCTTGCTAATTTGATCTTCGTCCTCTTCTTGTTTATCTTCCTTCTGTTTTGGCTTTTCGTCTCTCTCCACCACTGTTCTACTAAGAACAAAGTTTTTGTATTTCCCTTCTGGTGAATCCCATACCACAGTGAATCCATCAGAGGTCTGGTTTTTTACTCCAACATAGTCCAGAGGTTCTCTCTTGTCCACTGATGAAGAAACCTCAGATGCAGAGCCTTCTGTCCATTCGTTTTCAGTGTCAAAAACAGTTTTTGCAGTAGGATTTGTTTTTGCAAGTTCTTTCTCTTGCTTTCCAGCTATTCTGTGGGTGCCATGTTGATGCCCCATATCAGCTGTATCTATGGGTTGTCTTTTTGGAAGTGTGATTCGTCTCAAAGGTTTAGAAACAGTCTTGCTTTTATCTGTGGGACCAATATCTCTGCCAGTATCATCTCTCTGTTTGATGTTGGAATTTGCTGCAGCTTCCAGTTGGATCAGGGTATTATCTTCTTTGTTTAAATCTTCTATCTGTTCATTAGCTGTAGTTTTCTTTTCATGCGTTCTGGAATTTTTTCCCAACATTCCATTCATTTGTTCTCCTGACTGATTAGTCTGGAAACCAGAGTTAGACCTTTGTGTATTTTGTGTCTCTGGTTGTGATTCAGGATTGCCAACAGAGCTATATTTTCCTGGTACATTAGACTGGTGTCCAACAGCATGTGAGCCTCCATTTTGCTTTCTTCCCAAGAATGGTCTGCGCATTGTGCCTTTGGGATGTTGGCGTTGTCTCAAGTTCATAAATGTTTTGTTTTGTGCAGATTCGCCATGTTGGTGCTGCTTAAGAATATTTGGCTGCCGAGAGAAAGGCAAAACCCTTTCCTTTACGATGCGATGAAACCCATTTGAGATGTCTGTATGGGGGATTCTTGTCCCAGTTCCTTCACTTCCTTGATTTGCAGACACAGTTTTAGTTGGTAAAGAATCTTCTGAAACATGGGTAGAATTCTGTTCCAATTCAATGGGAAACATCTGTTCTTTCGGTGTATCTGTGTTTGGATTTAAAGATTTAGAGTGTGTGGTTAAGAGCTGTGATACTGGCCTGGTTCTGTTCTGAAGGTTTGGATGTAAGCGACGTTGGTATGTTCCCTTAAAAGTGGGGCGACGAAGAGGGTTTAGTCTTCGCTCTATTAGCATCTTTTTTTTGCTTTCTTCAATCCCAGAGGTTGCATTTGGGTTTGTTCTGTCTCCCTCTATGTTTCTATCCTTCCCAGGTGTGTCTGCTTCCAGTGCGGGTGACTTGTTTGAAATAGAAAAAGATGGTGAAGATGAAACATCCTTTGTTTCTTTTATTGGGGTGTTGCCCAAATTAAGTGGAGAATTGACAGGGACTCTTAGGTGATGATGCGTTTTGTTTCGAGGCCGTAATAAGTTTGGGTAAGGGCGACGTATAAATCCCTTCTTTGGATAAGTGTTGTGGAAAGCAGTTATGCTACTTTCTTCTGAGCTAGGTATTTCACTTTTCACAGTAGGTGCAGAGTTGGTGGTAAAGTCTAGTTCATTATTACCATGTTGATCTAAGTCTTCCAAGCTAGTTGCAGAGGATGATACAGAGGACCTTGACAAAGATGGTTTTGTTGAAGAAGGTGATGGTAATGATGAAAGTGAAGATGAAACTGTATCTGTTAGAGATGAGGGTGGTTCAGCAGCAGGTGATGATGGCTTTCTGGCTGATAAATAAGATGATTTTGCAGTAAAGGATGAAGAAGCTAAGAGGGGAGGAAGTGGCTTCATCCCCTTTAAAATCTGTCTACTTACTATGTCTGCATCAGTCGAGAGATTCAGTGGTTTTGCCAGATGGACTGAAATTGTTGTGATATTTAATTTGTCAAACGTCTCAGCTATGAGTTTGTGTAAAGGATCTGGTGTGTAATCAACGTCATCCTCTTCACTGGAAGGTGATTCCTCAAGACTTGACAATGCACTGCCTGCCAACCCTATAGCATCTTCTCTGCACCCCTTGTTTCTGTTCTTAAAAGGTAATCTGATGTTAGTCACCTTAATTTTATTCATACATTTCTTGTCCTGGTTTGGAAAATTCTTAGTTTGTGCTGAGGTATCTGAATGATTTTCATTTTCAGCCTCAGTAATGCCAGCATCTGGTTGTATATTTGAGTCAGTGTAAGATTGTTCCTCTGAGCTGCTTTCCCCAGTTGGTGCAAAATTATGCCCAGAAATCACAACTGCACCTTTACTATCACTCTTCTTAGAACTTGATTCCTCTTTACTATGGTCTGGGACAGGGTCACCAATAATCTGGACATCTGGTTTAGTTTTATTTATTTTTAACAGCTCTTGTATTTTCAGTGGCATTGGGTTTTTGAGCAAAGTACCAGGCACAACATGTCTTGTTCCAGACATAATTCTTGTTGCATTTGGTCGTGACAGCCCCGGTTTTGGAAATGTGGGCCTTCTTATTTGGGGTCTGGTGCCATTTCTTGACTTTGTGTTGACCAGAGGTCTAGTTTTGGCATTTACAGATATTGAGTAGTCTCCGCTGATGCTGCCAACATCTTGTCCCGGTGCTCGTGTGACCTGGACGGTCAGGTCCTCGATAGCAGCCATTGGGAAAATGTTGCCTAAAGATGTGAGAGCAGTGATCAAATGTGTTAAATGTTAAGGTGATCATATTTGGCAGTATTCCAGATGATATCTTACCTAATAAAGGAAGAAAAGCATGTTTAATATAAAGCTGTTGATTTTTTTTAAGAATAAACATTTACGTTATATACAATATGTTTTGTCAGTTATGACCAAACAATAAATCACAGAAATGCTGATGAAAACCTGCAAGGAGAAAATAAATAGATGAATTTTGTTGTTCCTGCAGAGACTTGGTGTTTGGGCCTTTGCTGTGAAGGAAATCTCCATGCTGAACTCAGGAACAGATGGAAAGGTTAGAGTATTACTCCATTAACTTTTACAGACGTCCCTCTAATGTGTTTTATATGATGTGATGTTGGAATAATGAGGTGTCTGGAAACAAACAGGTTCACCTCTCATCACCACATCTGTCTTCACTTGCCTACAGTAGAGAAACAAGTACTGGAAGTGGATGTTAGCAGTTAAGCTTTGAGAGTTGCTTCTTTAAATACATCGCTGAGCTTGACCATTGATTAAAGAGAAAGCTTTTAGCAGATAACAACTTTCAACCAGTAAATTTTATACTCACCAGGAACAACTTCAGTGGTCGCTGGCTTGCTACGGACAGCGTCCTTCTCTGCCTCCAACAAGACATTGTACACACGTCCCGCCTCTAGCTGCTGAATATGAGCAGAGCTTTTGCCTGCTTCTACAGTCATTTCCTGAGTCCTTCCAATTCCGTCGTTTGGTGTGATGGTCAAACGGTACCTGTCAATCTCTCCCTGTGACTGCTCCCATTGGACTACTGCTGACGTGGACGTGGTCTTTACAACTTGGAGGTTTGTTGGACCAGAGATGACTGAAAAAATTGAAGGTGGAGACAAAGAAATATACTAAGTGTTCTGTTTTAAATGGTCTACTGTTGCTTTATAGCTAAATGTAATGTGCTACATAAAGATCACCTTAGACCTTTTCAAATTAACTTCAGTACTTTCCTGAACTTCTGCAGCCTAAATTCCTCATCTTTACATTAAGATTAGCAGGTAGAAAATGTTAAACCTTTTATCCAAATCTTTGCAATGTGGGATTGTCAGGTAGTATACATTAACTTTATTAGTAGAGAAAATAACCATTTTGTGTTTATAAACATTGCAGTAAAATGCAGCGTAAGACAGAAGGCAGAAATCTTACGGGTCATAAAGCTAGTTGAGCTTTCAGCTCCCCTCCTGCCATTAATCTCTCCAACAATGCTAACGATGTACTTCTGTCCAGCTGCCAGGCCTGTTTGGGTGAAGGTAGTCAGGCTTCCATCCAACTGCTTGGTTATCTGTTGATCTGTCTCCTTCTGTAGGGTAAAGACAAAAGAGAGTGGGGAGCAGGTAAATGCATACCTTCTATAACGTTAAAAACATGAAAAATTTATGCTGATTTCTCTTCTAGTCATTCTTGGTGGTAGTTATGGGCCCAAACATACCATACCATGCTAAGAACCTTTGTACATAAACTAAGTTTTATTTGCACTGATTAGTAACCGGTTGACCCGGATTGTCACATACTACTGAATAACTGCTAAAAGCAAAAAAAGGTAGGCTCAAAGGTGGAAATTCAGAGATGGGTCAGGATCAAACAATCACAACACTATAGAAACACTAGAGAGCTCTCAAGACCAAAGGCTCAGGAATAATCTGACACTGATGACTGGGACCAGTGAGTTTAAATAGAAGCAGGAGCAGGTACATAAAATGAGCAGTGATGAGGAACAGGGCAGGGCTAGACAGGTGAATGAAATGAGCAATCAAGCCAGCCATCAGTGTCAAAATCATGACATCAATATAATAAAGACAAAGACGGAACTGCAGTGAACAGCGTGGTATCTAAGGCAGGAACCAGCGAGGTGCCAGCGAGTTACGACAAGTCACACCCAGAGAGTCCAGGGCACTGGTATCTGTGAGGTCAGAGGACAGGCAGGAGATCAGAACAGAGCAGATGAAGGACGGCAGAATAATCCAGAGGGTGAAGCCCAAGCTGGTGTCGGACATGTGCTCAGTTGTCAGAGCCATGATATCAAAGTTCTGAAGAGGTGCCGAAGGGAAATCCAGAATGAAGTTGGGGAATCGTTCCAGGTTCGGTTAACAGACAGTTAGAAATTCAGTAGGAGTCCGAAGACAGGTCAGGCAAACAGATCAGATGGGAACAGGCAGGCCCAGAGGTCCAGATGCAGAACGGGTAAGGATAAGACAATCAGAACACACAGGTATGCTAGAGAACTCTCACCAAGGGCTCAAATAATCTCTATGACTGGTTTGAAGGCTGGTTATATAGAGGCTGAAGCAGGTGATTATGATGAGTGGTAATGAGAACTGGGCGGATTTAAGCAGGTGAATGAAATGAGTAATCAGACCGCTCATCCGAGGCAAGATCATGACATTTACAACTAATGTCTTGAGTAAATCTACCCACATTCGAATTGTCCTGAAGGTCTGACAGACAATATGGCTGCCTAAATCTGGTACAAATTGGGCCTTTGTGAACATTTTCTAAAATAATCACAATTGGTGTAACATACATTTTTATTAAGAGGTACAATATACCTCCTCTAAAAGTGAACACATTACTGATGTTAAAAAATTTAATAAAAAATAATACAATGTAATTTGCATTTATATATTCATCTTTACTCACAAGAAGTGAAGTATTTAAATATAATTTGGATACAAATCGAAGTTGGTAAAAAACGAAAAAAGCTTTTATTTTGATAAAACTAAAGATCTAGAGTTTGTTAATCTTGTATACACATGAAGATATTTACAGCACACTCACTGCTAGCTGATATGTTAAGCTTCAGACTTTAACTAATCATTCCTGCTGAAATGGAAATGATACGTTTTCAAACATGTCTTTTAAAACTATTCAAGTTAAAGCTCTGGTAAGAAACAGCATGTTCTGAGGAGCTTTCAAAGTTTCATAAATTCTTGCTAATCTGTTCAGGCATCTAGAACAGATACTCTTTCCATGAAGCAGCAGCTACATCATTAAACAGTTGCTCAGCTAAGTGCATATGGCTTTCTAATGAAAGGATACCAGGCTGTTCGCTAAATGGACACCAGCTGTTTGTAAGGTTGGCCACTATGCTGGTTGCCCCATTCAGTGTCCTCTTGTCAAAGCAATTCCATTCATTTCCATGATAATGAGGCTTACATCATTTAAACTGTGGCTTCTAATAAATTCAAGACATACATTAAAATAGATCCAGCCCCTGTGGTGTCAAAGTATTGGCACGGCCACAGAGCAACTCAATATTCATGCTGGAAAATCAAACTCAAAGCCGGACGTTTTCTTTTTAAATGCATTTCTGCATGTCAGACAGTTGTAAGCTATACAAAGTCATTTTGCCTAACTTTAAATGTTCCGTAGAAACGAAAAGTGTTTTTTCAAGAACCTAGCAGTAAGTGGTATGGACGCTACGCTACTAATGATGTTTGCAATCCCAATCTGCCAACAATTTTCCCTTTCTGCAGACTTTAGTATCACTTCAGGGTCTTGGAAAGTGATACCAACATATGTGAAATGTTCCACTGGTGACCACAAGAGAGAAATGGCACAGAGTTAACTATGGCTCAATGAAATTGAATAACCTTTTTCCAGTGTAAGAGGTAATGTTCCAGTTTGATCAAATGTAGCTACATGTAATTCATACACATAAAAAGTCAAATTAAACTGGTAATTTTGATATGAAATAGCTTTATTTCATTCAGAAAACTAAATTGTAGCCATCCTGGACTTGCCTTGAAAAAACTTAGGACACTAAGGACACTCAGGATGGTCGATGCTCACATACATATTTTACTTGTTTTTTTTTTACTGTTTATTATTATATATCTAAATGTAAAGGTAAAAATGAACACATACCAATTCTTTGGTCATGCTGGCTGATTTGAAGACATTTTTAATTGGTCATTTCATGCATCAACTGTAAATCAAATAGTGTTTCCCAGAAATTATTTATGATTCTTATTGGAATGTCTTTTTATTGTTAAAGTGGAATTAATAAATTATAAGTGTAAAGCAGTTCCCAGTATAAATCAAACATTGTTACTGTAAAGAGAAAACTATTGAAAAATTAAAAACAGATAACGTTACAGCTGGTACAGATTACAGCCTGAAAGGACCAGTCTGTATGAGGGTCCCAGAGACGTCTATGAAGGGAGAACTTAGTGGTTACACCCAATAAGATGAGATCAGATAAAACAGATTGAAACACATCTTTATTTAAAACATAAACTGTTATGTGAAAAACTTTCAAATATCTGCCAGGAAATTTCAAGAGATTGTTGAATTTCCATTGTATATTCCAAATAAACTGCTGTGGATCTAATATACTTATTATGACCAGGAACTGGTTCCACTATTTTCAACTTTTGGACATGTTTTCTTAAATCTTTTATTTTTATTGTTGCTTAAATTGAAATCAGGTGTAATCCCACTGGTGCCTAAAAAAGCTGAATCCATTTGAGGATCTTGATCCTGCAACATCATTGTCTTATTTTGTAACCATAGTGGAAAAAGGAGTCAATATTGAGAAATGAAATGCACAAATTTTTGTTTTTGTGCGTATACAATACAGTGCTTTGATATTTTGATGAAGCGTAAAATATTGTGTGAAAGTTCTACTTTGTTTAGTAAGGGTCAATTAAATTATATTTTATAGACCCTGTCTTAAAAAGGTGGTGATCAACCATCTTAAGAACTGATGAGGTCTTTTTTCGACCCTCAGCAGTCTGGCAGTAGAGTTGATGATGTCATCTTTCCCCTGCATCAAGCTCTGACCAGAGCTCTCACCAGTGGAAGCCTGAAAGCACCGTAGCGATCTCATCCTTTGATTTCTCCAGTGCCTTTAATTCCAACCAGACACGACTTTAAGGGACAAACTCGAAGTGTCAGGAATCAACCATCTCTTTTACCAACAGCAGCATGTCTCAATATGGGCAGTGACTCTGACAGGGGGCCCCTAAAGGAGCTACACTGGCAGATCTCCTGTTCAGGAGAGCAAGTGTAAAGAACAGTGAATGTTTTGTTGGACTACTGCAGATCCAGGGAACTGAGCTTGAGATAGTTGATTCTCATAAATACCTGTATCTTCACCTTAACGATAAATTGGACAAGAGTTACAACTTTGATGCTCTTTACAGGAAGGGTTTGAGTAGACTCTACCTGCTGGAATGAAGGGGGCGTTCTGAAGACCTTTATTGGCTCTGTACAACTTCATGCATTTTTGCATCTACTTAAGCATAGTTACTTTAACACAATTGTTTCATGAGCAGAGTAGGAAACAAAACAACAGTAATAAAATTACTAACTATGCTTAAGTAGATGCATTCATTTTCTTTTTTTCAGTGATGTAGGCATCATTCATCTTCTCTGATGCAGTTTGTCATTAGAGGAAGTGGTGAGATAAGCTCATCATGAGCAGCGTCTTAAGATGCTTCCTCGACCCAGTGCAGGAAATGAAAGAAAGAATAAATTTGGCAATATTACATAATTTTTGGAAGTGTTAAGGAACTGAAAAGCTACTTGAGCTTTTTTATTAATTTATTTTTTATTCTTATAAATATTCTGCTCTTTGTTTTTTAAGTGTTGGGATATGGAGGTCTGTCCTCTTTCTCCACCAGAGGGCATACGAGATCTCCTGGAGCCGGAGCTGATTGCATCACCTGTCGCTCATCTGCTCATCAGGAGATCCGTATTTAAGGAGGCAGAGGACTTCTCTCCAGGGCCAGAGTGTTTGCCAGTAACGGTTAGCAAGCCTGAGCCAACCTGCCTGTCTGAACCTCTGACTCCCTGAAAACCTGAACCTGATCTGTTTTCTCCTCTCTGCTTCCTAGATTGAATCTGCCAGTAACCTGAAACCCTGAAGAGTTTCTCTGCCGGTGATCTGCCTGTCTGTTCTCAAAAGAACTCTGGAGAATAATCCCTGTCAAAGATCTACCTGCCTGCTCTCAGAAGATACTGGAAGGAAACTCAAATCTGTGATCTGTCTGCACTCAAATCAAGCTCTGCTTCCGCCAAGCCCTCAGCCTGCCGACTGCCTCTGGACCCTCAAGGTTCCCCCCCTCTGCTGCTCAGTTCAACTCCAGAACAGGTACAGCCCAGCACGCTCTCATCCTGCTAAATACCTGGACCGCCACTAACTCCTCTGTCCCCCTCTGCAGTGAACCCACTTGTAACCAGTCCTGGATCTGATTTATCTGTGTGCTTTTCAGAACCCACTCGTGACCAGACGAGTTCCCCTCTGGATCAGTTCATTTATATTCCATTCACTCTTCTCAATAAACCTTTGAACTTTTC